GATAATGATAACATCGTTTACACTAGAATTATGATTTATTTTAAACTATTCCACCTCGGTGAAATTGGTTGACATCATTGTTTTGGTTTTTGAGTTATCATGTAATAAAAAAAAAGAAGCAGAAGTAAGAAGAACCAGAAATTCAAACTTTTTGCTATGATATTTACAGACATTCCCAGAACTTGTGACACAGTCATTACATAGATATGGTTATAAAAGTAAACTCTGTATAGTATTGTAAAGTTTTGATGACCTATTGAGGAGATATTTAAAATACCATTTCGATGAATAATTCGAGCCATCCCTACATAGGTAGTGGTACCGCCTGCCTGATTAAAGTTGATGATGAAATATTAAATCTTGAGATGTAAAATTTAGAAAGATTCTGATGAGATATGCTGGTTTAAGATCGCTGACAAAAGTATAAGGTTAATGTTGAAGAGCACAACTTTATATTCTAGAGATGAATTGTGTTAAAGATTCAGTGAAGAAATAAAACGTCTGAAAGAACAACCAAAGGAACAATCGTGGGAAACTGTTGCTGGAAAAATAAAATCTTAGATAATTAATGGACTATTTGTGATGTGCCCATCATGGGTATTGAAACCTGATGTCTAACATTAAGTCCAGAGACAATTATTTGTATAGCAAAGAAATGTGTAAAAGTACACTTTTGTTGAGTAAATAAAATTGCTAAATTTACTGGGATTGAAGTGTAAAAGTTGCTGTTGTTTGGATAATGATTTGATAGATAAGAAAAGAAGTTTTTTCAAGATCAAATACTGTGTGAAAATGGCTCCTTATTCAAAGTTATATTAAGTTATTCTGTGAAAAAAATATCCAAACTGTGGACGTTTATGAAATGTAAGTAAGAAAAAAACAAACTTCAGCTGTGCTGTGCTGGTCAACTATTTGACACAACTGAAATTGTTAATTATACAGTTACTGTATCAAACTTTAAAAGTAACAAAACAGTTGATTTTTTAAATTAAAATCAAGATAATCACTTGCCTCATGCTTGTAGGGATTAGTAACTGATATTGTATCTCTGACAGTTTTATATTTGGTTTTATTTTTGTTTTTCAAGTGCTTTCTATTCTGGATAAGTTATAATGATATTCTAAATGCTGAATTTTTTCTTATTTATCACCTCAAACAGAATGGTTTTGCCGTTGTCCGACCACCAGGTCACCATGCTGAAACTCAACAAGCTATGTAAGTGACTACAAGTTCTTTTTTATTCTAATAAGCAGATTATTCTAATGTCATTAGGCTTAAGTTTGATTGAGCCAGAAATATCTCCTTTAACAATTAATTAGAAGTTCATACTTAAAAAAATAACACCTGATGTGTTGAACCTACTGCTAGGTAAGAAATATAACATCTGATCTTTTTGTTTTTCTAAAAGTGACTAGTCATACTTTTGATATTATAAGTATTTTTTTTCTGTCACATACTTGATTTTGTTGTTTCATTTATTTTTCAAAGAGTGCCAGTTTTTTATTATGTTATATTTTTGGTCACATTCTCCTCATAATTGTACAACAGGTCATGTTGTTTGATTTTCATTTTTAATTGTACATGTCACTGTGTAGAGACTTACAGGTGACCCCTAAACTTTTTAAGAAAGAAGAATTTGTAAATTTATTGGATATACATGTATAATTAAACTTTAACAAACACTTGTTGCAAACTTATTTCTATCAGGAATTAGGACTCTATGTTTAGTTTAAGTAACCACAATTCTACTTGTTTTGTAAGTCACAGTTGCGCGTATCACCAAATTATCTGAGATATTAATATAGGGGGGTTAATTTTTTTGTACACGTCATCTCTATTTTTTTAAATTCCTTTGATATTATATCACCAAATTATCTGAGATATTAATATAGGGGGGTTAATTTTTTTGTACACGTCATCTCTATTTTTTTAAATTCCTTTGATATTATATCACCAAATTATCTGAGATATTAATATAGTGGGTTAATTTTTTTGTACACGTCATCTCTATTTTTTTTAAATTCCT